ATTGTTACTATTTTGTTATTATTTTTATTTTTATTATCTTGTTAATGTTACTATTTTGTTATTATTTTTATTTTTATTATCTTGTTAATGTCACTATTTTGTTATTATTTTGTCATTTTTATTTTTATTATTTTGTTATTGTTACTATTTTGTTATTATTTTGTTATTTTTATTTTTATTATTTTGTTATTTTTATTTTTATTATTTTGTTATTGTTACTATTTTGTTATTGTTACTATTTTGTTATTATTTTGTCATTTTTATTTTTATTATTTTGTTATTGTTACTATTTTGTTATTATTTTTATTGTTATTATTATTTTTTAATTATTTTGTTGTCGTTGTTATTGTTATTGTTATTATTATTATTATTATTTGAAATTCACAGGCAATTTTATTTTCTAGCAATTTCAAATAAATCGAACGAACTTCATGGAACAAAATCGTCGCTAGATGTCGATTTTATGAATGCAAGTCCACGAGAGACTTGGCTCGACACTTGATAGGCGGAGGTAACGAGGAAAATTTACCCTGTAATTTTCGAGAAAGTCAGGGTTTCTATCGATTACCAAGGTGTCAAGTGTCGAACCATTCGATCCACTGGACTATCTACTGTATCAAGGGGTGTGCTCTTCCCCGAGAGCAATGCGCTTCACACGTTTTCTTTCCAATATCTCGCCAACCAATATCTTGTAAACCGCGGGACGCGTCCAATTACTGCATCAAAGTTCCATTTTCAGTCGTTGACAATTCGAGCATCTTTCCAAATCACTCGAGAGTTCTCGTACTTTGGAGATTTCATTCACGTTCGCACGGATTCAGACGTACATTTCATTTTTTCACACGCGTGCGCGATGTCCCTCGCTTGAAAACTTTCTGGAAATTCTTGAAAAATCGTCTGACAAGGATTGAACGAGTTTTCTCTAAAAATGAAGATAAAAACATTGCAATTTGAAACGACGGGTTATTTCATTTGTTATTATCTTTGTTTGAGAGAAAAAAAGTAGCTCTATCTTGGGTCGAATCGTTCGAGCTGATTCGTTGAAACAAAATAACAAATAATTTCAACGGAAGAATTCATACGACAGAACTGGAAAGTAATATTTGAAGAAGGAGACAGAGAATACGAAACGAAGTGAGAAACCTTTTCATTCAAATAATTCAGCAATTTAGAGAAGAATCGTCTGTTTGTTCGAATGAATCCGACGTACTTCGATACGTTGTTGAACAATCAAATTTTTTTCGAGTGAAGAGAAACAAGAAATTTCTTTTATTAAGGAAATCGAGTATATTTTAGTACACTAGCAAAGAAATTAGTACACCAAATACTTCTAGACATTCTTCGTTTCTTCGAAGAAACGCCCATGCCTGCTACAAAAACTACGCGCTTGTATAATGATACGAAATCGCTATTAAATTCCTAGTTATTTCCAGTCCGCGGCGATTATCTGATTTCTCAAGCCAACGATTCGACAACTCGCGATTCGCGATCAACGACTCGTACGATTGCTCGTAGATGGTACGTTAATGGCACAGTCTTGGGACAGTTGACAAAGTGCAATTTCAATTACACGTAACGAGAACAAAAAAGAGAAAAAAAATTGTCGACAAGCTCGCGGATATCGAAATAATCGACAGGTGGATTAACGACTTCCATGAAGTTTCACACGGACAAAGAACTCGCCCCGGTGGGCCGATCGAAAATGATTAGGCTACCACCGTGATCCGATGGAACAACGTCGACGCTCGGTGGTGGTTGCGGCGTGTTTATCGCCGCATCTTTACGGCTGTTCTCGGAAAACTGTAATTTACAGCACGCCGGGACATTACGGCACAACGACCGCGATCTGGCCATATATATATCGGCTGGAAAAACATTGTTTTACGTAATTGCAGAAGCGGGGAAAAATTCCGGGAAAGAGGCCCGACGAACGATCCATTGTTGCGCCACTTCATTTTGCCTCTCGTTGTAAATACTTCCTCTGCGCGTGTTACGCGCAACACGTGACTCCGCGAGAAAGCAGAAAAGTGAAATACAGCGGGAGGGAACAATTGGAGAACGAAATTTTAGTGTCAGTGTTGATGAGCATTGATCTCACGTTGGGGAAGCAGAGATTGACAATTTTTTGACTCACCCTATATTCTTACTTATATCAGAGAAATAATAACCACACTAACTGTTAATATACATTTAACTGGAGCATGAATAATGTTGTTAGCAAGTGAAATTATTGTCACTGGCTGGCAATGTTTATCAAATTTGAAAAAAAGAAACGACATTACTTATGGGTACATATTTTATATATGTTATATTATTATTGAATGAATTATATATGCAATATGGTAGTATATTATAGGTATAATTATATCATAATTATACATGATTATTTATTATAATATGATATCCATATAATTTATTATAATATATTATAATAAATATAATATAAATAAAATATAATATAATATATTGCAATAAATATAATATTATAAATATGATGTAATATATTATAATAAATATAATATTATTGTTATTATAATATATATGATATCCATATAATTTATTATAAGATCTGTAGTTTAACTACTTGCGCTGGCAACTGACTGCGGACCATAACGAGTGGCCGAACCGTACACGACACATTCCTCGCTTTCTTTTTGAACTCGCCGGTATGATATCACTGGATAGAAATTGATAAAAAGTAATAAATTTACTATTTTACTGTTTCGACTATATTGTTTTATTTAAATATACTTAAAACTGAGAAAATATTACAATTTTGAAACAAAAAATTCTCGACGTGCATGAGCGGTAAGACTTTTCTTCGCAGAACAAGTCACACTTATGTTCTTAACACTTATATTTGAAATGACAGTCGCACGTAAGGAATATTATCTTTTTTAATTAATTTTCGTTATTGTAGTATTATAATTTTATTAATGTATAACAATCGAATCCTGACTGATACGATTGACTTCAGACTTAGAAAAAGATACGGTTGTTCTTGTCAGTGTTAGTATTAATCTTTAATGTTTTGGATAGAAGCACGATCACGTAAATTTATTTATTTTAATCGTCACTTAAATTACAGTGATTTATACATAGAATATTTTGATACAGTTTGTTCTAGTGTCAACAACGATTTTCATTTATTTATTTATATTAATATTTCTGGACGATCAAAATCAAGTATGTAATTGAGGTTACAAAAATGCAAGGAACGTGCATTACAGACGAAAAAGAAAAACATAAAGTGGAACAAAACACGGTATAAACATAAATGAAACAAACCTCTTCCCAAGTCTTACTTTTTCTATTGTTTTGTCCGAATGTTTAATTCGAATATTTCTTAATAATTAATAATTCTAATTCTTCAGTTAGAAACACTCGACCTGTCATTTTCTTTTTCTCAAACTTTCGAGACGCAAAGTCTTGGGCGTGTTCAACAAGACGTTGATGAAACATTCTGATGAATATTTATGCCGGTCCGCGAGGACTCTAAATTAATCAACCACGATGCACGAGGATAACACACATATTGTACTGCAGTTTTCCAACCACAATGGGCGACCACCATGTTGGGATTAAACATAACATTCCCTCTTTCATTACGCCAGCCTTACAAAGGAAGATTCTAAAATTTCAACGGATTCTAAAATCTCACCCTTCTTTTTCCCCACTCCCCCCCTAAAATTTTGCATAACGAATGCCCAGGAATATATGGCTGTCTCGATTCTCGTTGGAAACCACGTGGACTCGGAATTTTCAGTTTAGCAAAAATACTAAAATCAGAGTCGAAACAACCAGTTACAGATGTATTGAACAATGTGTTTTTAGGGAATTGAATGATTCTTCATAAAATGTATAAATAAAAGATATTGCATTTGGACTCGGAATTTTCAGTTTAGCAAAAATACCAAAATCAGAGTCGAAACGACCAATTACAGATGCATTGAACAGTGTGTTTTTAGGGAATTGAATGATTCTTCATAAAATGTATAAATAAAAGATATTGCATTTGGACTCGGAATTTTCAGTTTAGCAAAAATACCAAAATCAGAGTCGAAACGATCAATTACAGATGCATTGAACAATGTGTTTTTAGGGAATTGAATGATTCTTCATAAAATGTATAAATAAAAGATATTGCATTTGGACTCGGAATTTTCAGTTTAGCAAAAATACCAAAATCAGAGTCGAAACGATCAATTACAGATGCATTGAACAATGTGTTTTTAGGGAATTGAATGATTCTTCATAAAATGTATAAATAAAAGATATTGCATTTGGACTCGGAATTTTCAGTTTAGCAAAAATACCAAAATCAGAGTCGAAACGATCAATTACAGATGCATTGAACAATGTGTTTTTAGGGAATTGAATGATTCTTCATAAAATGTATAAATAAAAGATATTGCATTTGGACTCGGAATTTTCAGTTTAGCAAAAATACCAAAATCAGAGTCGAAACGACCAATTACAGATGCATTGAACAATGTGTTTTTAGGGAATTGAATGATTCTTCCTAAAATGCATAAATAAAAGCTATTGCATTATAAAGATTCTTTTTTTCTTTTTTTTTTTTAGTTTAATGTCTCTGGTGGAAATTTTATAGTTTTAGTATTTTTTTTTTTTTTTTTGGGAAGAGTGTAAAATACAGAAAATATAAAATATAAAATACAAAAGGTGAATACAAAGTACAAAAAGTAAAATACACAAATAAAAGGGTGCTCGTGCATTATAAAAACTTCCTGTCAATGACTCTGATGGAAATTTTGTGTAAAAATTGAATGTAGAACGGAAACTACAAAATACAGTGAAATCTTCAACATATGCGACATATTTTTCATCAAATGGAAACATCCCCAATATCTTGGCACAAACTACTGAAAACTTGCGAATCTTGCCTTTTTTTTTTTTTTTTTTCTGTGAAAAAAAGTTGCGACGAATTTGAACGTGACGGTGAAATCAATCAGCGAATGGGCGTGTGATTGGTGTTTCAGGTCGAGAAAACGGCGACCCAGCTCGAGCAACGACTCCGAACGATCGTACAGCGGCTGGAGCGACAGAATACCCCACGGATGCGGCCGCGAGGGTTGCCGTACCAACGAGCGTGGCGACTGCATGGACGAATGCACAGCCGCATTGGTCCTCATGTCGCTTTCGTGCTCGCCGCACAGCCCTCACAATCCCCTGCCAGTGCACTGCCAACACAATTACGGTCGGTATCACAGCTGGGCTTGGGCTAGCCTTGTTACGCTATCGTAAAATTCCTTTGCTATCGTTCATTTCGGTTGACGCGCCAATTGTTGACAGGTCGCGCGATTTTCTACAGCGAATTGCAGAAAAGACGGAGAGTTATAGTTGGTAGATTTCTGGACACGAGTTAGAGAATGCGTCCCTTCGATCGCGCGGAACGTAAAAGGAAATTGGAACGTTCTGAGACGATGCTTCCAGTTGTTTAATTATTAATTATTCTATTATTTTATTTATTATTTTATTGTTTTATTTGTCATTATTTTATTATTTTACTTATTATCGTTTTATTATTTTATTTATTAATAATTTGTCAATTTAGTTATTTTTTCCTTTTTTGCGAGCGTATTGTATTCGTAGTATTGAATGTTTTATCAACATTAGAAATATATAGTGTATTTGAACGTGTATCATCGTATTATTTGTATCGTTTTATTTTATACAGCGCAGTATATATAGTATATGGTATAGTCACTACAGTACTAGCATAGTACTACAGTAATTAGTATAGTAGTATAGTACAGTACTACAGTACTAGTATAATATAGTACTGTATAGTAGTATAGTACTAGTGCTGTATAGTAGTATAGTACTAGTACTGTATAGTAGTATAGTACTATTGCTGTATAGTAGTATAGTACTATTGCTGTATAGTAGTATAGTACTATTGCTGTATAGTAGCATAGTACTAGTGCTGTATAGTAGTATAGTACTAGTACTGTATAGTAGTATAGTACTAGTACTGTATAGTAGTATAGTACTAGTACTGTATAGTAGTATAGTACTAGTACTGTATAATAGTATAGTATAGTACTAGTACTGTATAATAGTATAGTATAGTACTAGTACTGTATAATAGTATAGTATAGTACTAGTACTGTATAATAGTATAGTATAGTACTAGTACTGTATAATAGTATAGTATAGTACTAGTACTGTATAATAGTATAGTATAGTACTAGTACTGTATAATATTATAGTATAGTACTATAGTACTAATATTGATCATTTCTCTTTCTACGTAACGTGTTGCTCCAAGTGTCCGTGCAATTACTGGCGATCGAAATCGCATATCCGAGTTACACGATTGTAAATTCAGCCGGTACGTCTGACAGCAGTCCTATCTAATCTCAATTCCATACCGAGATTACGCTCAATCGCGCCTCAATTTACAACAATCTATCAATCCAGACATTTCCCCGGGTCTAAAACCATCGAAATGTTATGTATACTACGTGCAAACTATAATTCAAATATGAATGAGAAACTGATAATTCATTCATTCACACAGAATTTGTTCAATCAACGAGACATTTTTTTTATTTTTATTTTTATTTTCACTTTTTATTTTTTTTTATTTTTTTTCATCAGGTTCGGTATTTCGTTTTCAAATAGTATGAAATTTTTGTGAGATGCTAGATGGTACGAGGGGAAGGTATGTACCACCAAATGATACGAAATTTAATACGTCCGATTAATTATTTAATATACGAACGGTGTGATAAATAGTCATCACAATCAATTGGAGATTCGATCGTTGTTCAAAGAATAATCCAAAGTAGAATTTGCAAAGATTCGTCGAGTCGGTCGAAGTTTTTTTTTTTCTTTTTGAAACTCGATGCGGCTCGAAACGAAACTTGAACTCCCGAGGAATCTGTCCGGGTGATTGTTCGAAAGCGGACAGAGTCCGTCGCTCTTCAGCTTTTTATAATTTACGACCGGGCCCGGGACTTCTCCATAGACTTGAGAAAATTTCAAACGAACGTCGGTGGAAAACGATCCGCAGGCAACTCGTGCGTTTGTAAAAGAATTTCGGCCTCGAAGTGAGAGAAACGCAAATCTATCTTTCGAGTGAAGGATGATCGTTTAATCCCTTCTTGCGAAACTACCTTTTCTTTCTCTTTCTTTCTTTAACCCTTTGCACTCGATTTATTTTCATCGTTGTTGGGTGTAGACTTGTGTTTATTTTCAGGGAAATGAATTAAAGTAGAGAGAAAGAAAGTTCCGTGCACGGCTTGTAACCACAAACTGTACTGACAAACTGACAAAAACTTGGCAAACTATTGCTGAGTGGGACCTCGAACGCCACATAGTGTTTCACAGTTATTTACAGTTACCATCTACAGCGTGACGTATGTATCTACATACGTGTTTTAGAGAAAATTAGTGTTGTCAGCTCCGGCGTGACTTAGGAGTGCAAAAGGGTTAAATCTGTATTCCAACAAAATCAGTCCACTCGTCGAGCAACTCGTTAACCCCTTGCGCTGGCAACTGGTTCGCGGACCGTAACGAGCGACCGAATCGTATACAATAATTCGTCGCTTTCTTTTTAAACTCGGGGCTGGAATTATATCACTGGATGGAAATTACTAAGAAGTGATAAATTTATTATTTATTTTGCTGGGTTATTTATATATTTAAATATACTATTATATATATTTACAACTATTAATAGTTATGTTATAATAGTAACTAAAAATATTAAATATACTATTATATATAAATATATATTTAAATATACTATTATATATATTTATATATACTATTATATATGTTATATATCTATAACTATTAATACTTATATTATAATAGTAACTAAAAATATTAAATATACTATTATATATAAATATACTATTATATTTAAATATGTATAAATATATATTTAAATATACTATTATATATATTATATATTTATAACTATTAATAGTCATATTATAATAGTAACTAAAAATATTAAATATACTATTATATATAAATATTTTAAATATATATAAATATATTTAAATATACTATTATATATAAATATATGTTTAAATACACTTATAATTGAGAAAATGTTGCAATTTCGGGACAAAAAATTCCCGATGACGTCATTCCAGCGCAAGAGGCTAAACGCTCTTAAGGCACTTCTCCATTTGAGGATTTCTCGCGAGTGTGTTCTCCATTTCTTTCTCTCAAACAGCTGAGCGATGCTCTCGGACAGTGTAACTCTCCATTTGCGAGAGACACTCTCGAGAGCAACTCGCGACAGTTCTACTCTGAAATGGAGAAGTACCTTTACGCGTCCACGAGGTGTTCGAGTCGGACAAAATTCTCGGAGGTGTACGGTAAAATATTACAGAACCCGATCTGTTACAACCGGATGCTTAAAACGAGAGAAATCTCCGGGTGTAGATAAGTCGGTAGCGAGGAATCCAACTCGGTTCGTTTTTTAACCCCCTCGGGGTGCCGAATTAATCTGACTAAATCTTCCCCTTCCGCGCGCGACGCGGATGATAATCACAAAACACACAGCGAGGGTGTTCAATGTCGTGTTGAACGAGCGAAAATTTGACTGAAATTTGTCAAAGACTCCGTGCCGCCATTTTGACACGAGAGGAGAGAATATCGACCCCGCCGCGAGATATCGACCGTACCCGAGGGGGTTGAAATGAGAAAATCAATGAATCTCTCGTTTATTTTCTGGAAAACAAGGTTCCTGGGGAGGTCGGGGCGGTGGAGGTGGCGGCATGGTGGTCGGCTCGCCAGGAGTCGGCGGCACCTCCAACAGCAGCAGCAGCAGCGGGGCTTCATGGCGTAGCGGCACCCCCAGTCCGCCTCTCAGCGACGAGGGTGCACCCACCACCGGCTCACTATGGCCGACATCGGCTCATCCGTCGCACAATCAGCAGCACTACCCTTACAACGCGTCTGGCTCGTCGTCGAGTAGCACACCGGGCTCGACAACCACCCTCGACGAGGGGATAGTGCCCGATTACCTCGAGGAACAACACCCACGCAAGAAGAAGGTTAGTGGCAGTCTCTGTAGCCGCGGGCAGTCTCTCGCGTTTCATCGGTCGATCGATCGATCGATCGATCGATCGATCGATCGATGAATAAAGCCGCGCAGCGTGTGCATGCAGCCTGTTCAGTTTCTTTTGTCAGTCCGATAAAGTCGAGCGCGCCCTGTGTTGCAACTCGTTACAATCTGGGCAACCGATGACGATGCACTTGGCCTTCGCGTTGCCTAGGCAATTATCGTTTTATTGTCCGGATGACGAACTACGTCGTCTACATATTGCTTACACGTACGTATACGCGGATTATTTTGAGACGATGTTGACGAGTCGTTTTAATAGCTATCGGATTCATTTTAGGTGGTTAGCCGCGATTAGGAGTTTTGACATTATTTGGCGAAATTTTACTATTAATTTCGCGTGGTTCTTCGATTTTGGATTCAATTCCGAGTGTTTTAAACGTTCAACTTTCGTTTGTTTGAAATGAAACGGTTCGATTCTCATAGAACTATGTACATAGAACAATGCAAAAAACGTACTTCGTGTAGTTGCTATGTCGAATTCAGGAAGTGCTTCGTAATGTCGAAGGTACTTTTACTTCTGGTGGCTACGTTTCTTGTCTATATCCACCTCGTCAGTTTTCATGGTAAAGCAAAAAAATTTCTCGAAAGTTCTCGGGGTAGGATTAAAAAAGTTTCTAACTAAAAAAATTTAACCATCGAGCAGACAAATTAATTGATTGATGGTTAATTAATTAAGCGAATGTTAGATAATTGTTCCTTGGAAGATGGCGAGCACCTCGAGATCGCTTTTTCCCAATTAATTTGCTTTATCGGTTGTCAATTAGTAATTTCCTTTCTGAACGTAATAACGAAATTTCATTTAAAATTAAAACAGCCTCTCTCTCTCTCTCTCTGTCTCTGTTACACTAATATTTATAATCGTAAAAGTTTGCATCACCTCCATGTCGCTATTATCAAATCAATTTCACTTTACTCTGAATTTCGACTTAACTGCAAGAATGAATAAAAAAAAAATCTCTCCCCCTTCCCCGTGCTTTATAGCTATATTGTAAAATTATATTGTAGTAAAACATTATCGCGAATACTCGACACTTGAAACATCGCGAATAAATTACATATCGCGGCTCTGTGAAATTGATATGTCATTACCTGGAAATTACTACCAGACCTATTACCTTATTATCGAATCACTTGAGGTTAATGTAATTCGCGTATTATACAAAATTAATATCGCATTCTGAATCCAAGGAGACTCTCGTATGAAAATTCATTTATTCGCCGTATCTGCACGTACTTTATTTACATTCAAGTCGAGTTTCTTTTTTTTTTTTTTTCTTAAGTAATTGCGTTCTCTTTGTGATAGAGAAAAAGAAGATTGATCAATCAGGCAATTCTGCCTTCTGTCAGGATAAATTTCTGATGAAACGCGTCACGTTTAATTTCTAATTGTTACATTTAATTTCTAATTTCTAAAATTGTCCAATATAGTCTAATTTGTAACGAAGTTCATCTCGTGTCCTTGGCTCGAGATCGTTCGCGATCATTTCTCACGCGAAAAAATTAGTTTGCGCGTTTAATGTTTAATTCAGGAATATTTATATATATATATATATATATATAAATATTATAATTTTTGTATAACGTACAAAGTTTTCCTTCAATTTCCAACTGATTTATTTATAATACTTATTTACTAAATATTAAAGTATCAAATATAACACTTGTTTATTAAATATTAATTTAGAAGCGATATAAGAAGCTAAATCACTAAATTCATTCATCGTGTCCGCGCTTATATTCAATTTGAAAGAAAAGTTTCTTTTTAAATAAATTCCTGTCTCATTTTTAAATAAAACGAACGTTCTTCTCTTCTTCTTTCTCGCGACAGAATAATTTTCCAAAAAAAACTTAATTTCCCAAATAATGATTCAATCATATCGAATAAATACGAAATATCATCAAAACAAGAAAAAAAAATGGAACTTTTAATTGTTGTTCGGCAAATTGTTCAGATGTGCTAACCACAACTGGCATACTGATAACGTCCAGCCGTGATAAAGCATTTGCCACTTCATTATCAGATCCTGAAATGTAGATAATTTTAGTAGAAAATTGTCCAATATAGTCTAATTGTCGTAATTGTCTTCGTGAAGCTTTCTCTGATTATTGACGAAATGCAAATGTTAAATGGTTTATGATCAGTTTGTATCGTCCTTCCAAAAAATATTTAAAATGCTTTACTGCTTTATAAATTATCATAAGTTCTCTGTCATAAGCACTACATTGAATTTCTTTGCGGTGAAAATTTTTTAGAAAAGAAGATTCCCACAAACTATTTACTTGTTGTTGTAAGTGCAGCTCTACAAGCTAAATTTGTATAAGATAGAAAATTTTTCTCACGACAGTTGTCAAACATCATCGAATTACACCTCCACTTTGAAACAAAAAAAAAAAAAAAAAAAAAAAAAAAGTTCACGGCTCACCGATAACGATATAATCTTATTTAAATAATATCCAACTCCGCAACTTCGTTGATCCTAATTTCCGTGACATTGTCATCGCGAAACCAACCACGAAAGCGCCGTTCCGTTCAGAACGAGAGAGACAAACCATATTCAATAAAATCGACACTCTCTCGCGTGTGTACGTACATCGATAACACGTCGTGGAGCTCGATCGTTTTCAGTGCCGATTTGATCGCCATTGCCGCAACCAGACCGAGGTTGAATCCTGAAGCTCGACGACTCGCAATCAGCCCGAGTGGGCGATATCGCTCAGAACGCACAATTGAATCGCTCATAAGACGCGGACTTATCTCCGCGATGTTAGGCCCTTCCGCGTTCGAGAGCTTACATTTAATTAACATCGACGAGGAAGATAAAACCGCGGGCACTGGCTACTTGCGTAATAAACACGCAACTCACGCGCGCGTGTATCTGTATCATCCGCGACCTCGAGATGATGATTCCATCCTCTCTTCTTCTTTTTTATTTCTTTTTGGTGTGATTTTTTTTTTTTTTTTGTCTTTCCTCTCTCTTCCTTCATTTCTTTTCTTTGGCGTGACTTTCACGTCGCATCGACGACGATTCTCCCCCCCCCCCGAAGCGAAATAACGTTTCTTTTTTCTTTTATTATTATTATTATTATTAGTAAAGAACTTTTAAACAGGTTCTGACTGAGACACGGATCCTTTTCTTTTCTTTTTTTTTTTTCGCACGTCTTCACGAGGACAGACAGACAAACGCTTTTTTTTTTTAATCCGTTGAAAGCGTGTATGTCGCGGTGACGATTATACTCGTCGAACACAGAGTTCTGTGCAGTTGCTGTAAAACTGAATTAAATGACAAAGGAATAACTTTATTTTTGTATAAGTTGTTTAACCGGTAGTTTTATTTTTTTGTGAAATCAATAACTTCATTGTTTAACTTTAATCAATGTTAATTAATAGTAATTAATATCAATAGCAAGGAAATATTTAGAAATGATGTAAAGAGAACTAATGTCCCAAGCCTGGTCTCGAAATTGTCCAAGATCTACAAATATGTTTCATTTTCCACGAGAAAGTTTAATTTAAGTAACAAATTGTCATTACTTTCCTCGCATGACGTAGTTAGTGTACTCGTCGTTCGCAGCTAAGAGGCTAAAAAATGAAAGTTTCAGACAGAAACGGAGATTGCAAAATGTAGAAATAGAAATTTTTCTGTTGGATAATTTGTTCGTCAATATTAAAAAAGTTCATTGAGAATAGCACTCGAATATAAAAGTGAGTTTTTAATTGAATTAGTTTTAAAATCGCTTGATCCCCACGGAGCTTTTATTGTACAGATCCTAAAATATCCGTTCCATGAGCTCCAAACATTGTTCAAAAGTGTTTCTAAATATTCTGGTACGATAGATATTTTAGAATAATATTAAATAATAATGCAAATATTATTAATAATATAAATAATAATATTATAAATAATATTTATATATATTTAATAATATTATTAATAATATTTATATTATATATTAATATTATTAATAATATTAATAATATTATTTATAATATAATTTTTATATTATTTTAATAATATTATTTTTATATTATTTTAATAATATTATTTATTATATTATTAATAATATTATAATATAATTATTGTTAATGTAAATAATAATAAGTGTTTCCACTTAATAAAAAGTGCTTCTTCCTGTTTCTTTTGAAATTCTTCAAAACAGAAGTTTTTTCAAAAGAATTTGTCAATTTCGATCCCTGAATTAATTGAATCTTGTTTAGTCAAGTGTTGCGAACTCGTCGATTTCTGAACGAGTTTGAAATTTCTGGGATTATTCTTCTTTTTTATATTTTCGTTCGAGGTTAATTGCATCGCGCATTTCTCTACACTCACAGGAAACACATTTCTACGCTTAAAAGTTTTATCCGTTTTATTACCAATTCTATCTGAAATTTTAAAGTGCAGAAATTTGCACGGATCGCTTAACGTACCAATAAATAAAAATGTCGATGAAATATCCAGAGCGACCAAACTCTGTTCTCTATAACACTCGGTACGTGAAACATTTTTTGGTCAATTTCTAGTTTGTCCGGCTTTTCTTAATTTCCACTACTTCGTTTACAATTTTTTGTTAAACTTTTTTCGAACTACCTCTCCCGAAATTGATTTCCAAAGCGAATCCTCTTTTATTAAAGAAATGGCCAACATTGGGGAAAGCGGCTAAATTTAGAAATTTATTTTAAACTAACAAGCAACTAATTATGGCAAATAATAAATCTAGAAATTTACTTTAAATTAATATAATAATAATAATAATAATAATAATAATAATAATAGTAACAGTAAATATTTGTTTTATAAATAATAAATCTAGAAATTCACTTTAATAAAGTGTGATTATTAGGCAATTATTCTAAATAATAAATTTTAATTTTAATTAAAATAATATTTTAAATAATAAGAAATTAAATTGAATTAAAATTCCTTTTTCTTTTTTTTTTCTTTTTACCGAAGTTTCATCTCTTTTTTAAATCATACATTCAAAAATATGAATCTACGTAAAAATCCGCAGTCTAGCAAGACTTACAAGATAAAGGGCAGTAATAAAATAAACTTTTCACTTTCTACGTTTTTCATAGTAGTTTCTACGATAGATACGTCAGTATCCATAACGCGAACGTTTGTGAAATTGTTTTTCACTTCGATAATTGAAAGCATCGATCGAGAAACAAATAACGATTCACTGGTTTATCGGAACGCATCTCGCGATGTTTATTAAACAGCCGAGCCATGACGAAACAAGAGCTGTTACCGTTTCTCTGTACAATGTCCCTATCTTCGACGACGCAAAAACGTTTCCGTGAAAAACCCCAATAATCACGCGAATAATGAAATTCGTAAACAAACAAATAAAACATCGATCGTGGTTTTCAAGTGCGACCGATTTTCTTGCGCAATCTTTTATTATGCAACTTTCGTTATCGCTCGTTCTTATCTCAGTAAACCAATATACGCTCTAACACGATTTTCTATCATATGTACACACACACACACACACACACATATATATATATAATTTTTGTATTGTATTATTTATATGTATTATTTATATATTTTGTATTATATTATTATATTATACTTATAATATATACATTACTTATACAATAATTTTACTTATAATTTTGTATATAATACATAATTTATATATATGATGTATATAATTATATTTATTATATATATTATATATAATTATTGTTATATATATTATATATATATAATTATATATTAAAGACATTATATATACATAATTTTGTATATAACACATTTATATATATATATATATATATATATGTGTGTGTGTGTGTACAGAAATTATAATATAATCTATAACATATAATACAAAAATATGTTAATATGTAATATATGATACAAAAATTATACATGTACATAATATATCATACGTATAATTTTTGGATTACTTATCACTCATATTAAATCGATCGATCGATCGATCATCCCCGGTTCGCCTGGTTCTTTCGGGTCCGCGACCTTACGAAAGTGGCGACGCGCCGTTTTCGCAGAACAGAGGGCAGGAGAAGAGAGAAGGAAAAGGTGGAAAAGCGGCCGAGGGAACGTCTTCGAATGCAGAGCACGCCGATAACGGTCTGGCCTTGTCACGCTCGAGCGATCGGGAATCTCGCGCGTTTAGATTTTCATTTAGATCCATCGCGTGGCTCCGCCAGGCTCCACCTGCGATCCAACGAACCCGTTAGCCCGCCGAATCGTGCGGTTGAATTTTTACGAGGCCTGAGAGCCTCGGACAAATCCCAATTGCACTCGCTACTTCACTCGAATTCTGATTCTGCTTGGAGCGTGAAGAATCGACGATGAGTTGCGCCGTGACTCTTTAGGCAAATTTATATATGTTGCGACGGGGGATAACTGCGAATGAAATTGGACAAGTTTGCACAGAGATGAATTGGGTGGAATTTTCGTTCGGATCAGTGACCGACTAATTGCTCTACTCTTGTGTGTAAAATACGTCACGAAACAGTATCTATACAGGGTGTTTCGTAACTTGTGGGACCCACTTCAGGAGTTGATTGTACGCCTAATGAAATAATGAAAAATGGTCATATAAATATATGTCCTGTCTGTCTTCGTTTATCGAGATACAATGAATTTTCTGTTTTAATTATTTTTACAAAAGATGCTCGAAATGACCAGCTTGCATTTGAAGACAAGCCTGCACGCGTCTTGTCATTCATCTGGTTACTCTCTCTNCTATCATTCCTGGTGTTTCTCGAATTTGTCGGAGGTCCTGCTCTCTATTCTATTTCGTAGTATTTCAGCATGTTCAATCGATGTTGCGTATACGATAGATTTTAAATGTCCCCGCAAATGAAAATCTAATGGATTCAAATCCGGAGAACGAGCAGGCCATGCAAATAGGACCTCCGCGACCAATCCATTTATTTGCAAAGTGTTGATTGAAAAATCAACTAGCCACTCGGCTAAAATGCGACGGAGATCCATCATGCATAAACCGCATACGAAGTCTAATATCGACTTGGAACTTCCTCTAATATTTCGTGTAAACGCGTGCTCAGAAAATCAACGTACTTTGTGCCTGTTAGTGTTCCCATCAAGAAAAAGAGGTCCAATTAAAAATTTATCAATTATTCCTGCCCATGCGTTTAAACTAAACTTGATGTCTTGAATGCACAATAACATGTGGGTCTCTTCATCCCAATTATGATTATTATGAAAATTGAATATACCATCCCTTGTAAAAAACTAGCTTACTAGAGTTTGCTCTGTTGATAAAATTCATTATATCTTATAAACGAAGACAGATAGGACATATATTTGTATGACTTTCTTTCATTATTTTTTTAGGCGAACAATCAGCTCCCACAAGTTACGAAACACCCTGTATATGTTCAACTATTAATATCCTCCGATGTAATTGGCTATTTATTCATTTATTTATTTATGTAAAATTCCAAAATGCACTTTACCTCGTTCGATGAATCCCTTGAGATGAAAAATAATTCAGCAGAATTAATCACAACTAATATTCAGAATACTCATTAAGAATATCACTCTCTAATTTGGACTCGTATTTTAATATTCCACCAACATCGACGACAGTCTGTTCCTGATGATCAGAGAATTTCGAATTTCCTCGTCAAATATCGTCGCTGGGTATCACGATCACGATTTAATCCAGTTCAATTCCGTTCACTCGGCATACCGACACGCACTTCCCCTCCCTCCCTACACGCCTGTACAGTTCGCATTCGTTAATGGAAGAAAAAAAATCATGAATTTTAACACATCGAATGCCTTTAATTAAAGGAAAAAAGAAGAAAAAAGTCGATCGATTTAATTTATCACGATCGAGTAGTCGTTCCTTTGAACGTGTACGTGTATCGCACGTACATAAGTGTTAAAAATATTTTCAATAATCAATACTGTTGAAAATATTTTCATAATTATTTTAACAAGTGTTTAAATATCTTAATGATTTTAATGTAAAATATTTTAACAAGTGTTAAACAAATATAAACAAATATTTCCAACAATTAATATTTTTAATAATAGTTCAATTGTTTAAAAATACTTTCGCCGCTAATTGTACAACAAAAAATAATTCATTCTCTCAGTCGTATAGTCGATTTATTGTCACAGTTACTTTCTAGAGAGATTGATGGAACAGTGACTCCAAAAGTGAAAATGTAACATTTCAGGTTAAAAGATCGAAAGATACGATCTTCGATCTTTTAACGAATCATCTTCCAATAATGGATGTTCCATCAACGAATCACCGGCTCATTACGGTAATCTCTATTTCCAAGCATCTTCTCTCAAACCTTCTCCCTATTATTTCAACGCCGAGTTGAAAAAGAAATCGACGAATTATTGTACATACGGTTCGGTCGCTCGTTACGGTCCGCAATCAGTTGCCAGCGCAAGCGTGGTTGACATTCATTCACCGAGAACGTTGTTGTCAGATGTATGTTTACAACGATAACAAACGAAACTCTGAATAACATGTCATCGAGGATTTCGGTTAGGTGCACGTGCGCGTGCAGTTTTATAGCAAACTATAAACTATAGTAGGTGAGGACACGCAGATGCATCGTCTCACAGTGAGAGACGAGGCGTCTCTGCCAAGTCTCCACGTCGAATGACATAAGCCTCCAACCAAGGATGCCAAGGATGCAAACGGGGCGCACCGGTTTTTCGATAATTTCGTAAGACGCGGCTAGCAAGTTGAACCTTGGATGTATTAACGCCGCGGTCTAAACTTAGGTGGTTGCGTGGCCACGCCGGGGAGGAAATGGGTCCGACCCGGGTCTGAAAATAACCGGGTGCGCGAGTCGCACCAAACGGAACATCTCCTCCTCGTGACGGTTAACCCGATTTGATTTTTTTCTTTTTTTTTTCTTCTTCTTCTTCTTCTTCTTCTTCTTCTTCTTCTTCGTCGTTTTCCAGATCCGGGCGAAAGTGAGCCGCGACCCGATCGAGAACGGACCAGCCAACACCGCCATCTACGAGAGCGAACAGGTGAGTCCTCGCGTTTGTTTCTCGGCTTTCTTTCTTGGAAACCTTTCGCCAGCCTTAAAGAATCTTCACCCTTTGCGTTCGAGTTCCTTCTGGGACAGTGACGGCGAACCTTTTCGAGAAGTAGGTCAAATTTTGTTCATTATTTTGTTTAGTACTAGCTCGTGGGTCACTGAGTCAAGTGGCGTCACTTGTGAAGGAAGAGGGGAGGAACTGGTTAAAAACTACTTTTTTTTTTGGTTCTCACTTTTGTAATCCTTTAAAAAGTTTACGTTTCCTTTTGGTTTTACAAGTTTTGCAAGTGAAGAGCAAAAAGTAAATGTCGACGTTAAAAAATTGATATAAAAGGGGTGACATTGTGCCCAGTCACCCATGCACTATACATTAGATATATATACTTTATTTTTTAATATTTTTTATTAGTCTGTTCTCTCTTTTATTATATAAAAAACTAGCAAAGCTATCCATTCTGAGAATGGGATCTAGTGTGTTTTTTTAATGTTTATTACATCTGTTTAATCGTAAGCGCTATATAAAACTTTTTGGACACAAGTAACTCGTATAACATTTAAAACTTAAAATATCTATATGTATACATAACCAAGTCGTAAATCCTCCATAAAACACAATTATGCATTTATTTCTCACTTTTAGCCTCTAACCGAACACTTGTAATTTTCTTCACATTTTTCGAAAAATAATTAAAATTCTTTTATATATATGATGACAAGTTTATAAAAATCAATGTGTGGGTCAGTGTCTGACCCGCGGGTCATAGGTTCGCCATCATTGTTCTAGGGGAATCGTCACGCTCTAAAGCTCAGACTTCTTTTTTTGTAATTGTTGATAACGAACGTGTAAATTTGATGACACATGTAGGAATTTCAAAAGCAGAAATTCTTCAGATCTCGTTAAAATAAATTTTATTGCGTAATTCTTAACGCAAGTTTATTATATAGCGCGGGTCAAAAGTCACTTCCTACTAAAAAGGAGAGCGCAAATTTGAAAACAACTCTGTCGACATTTGAAAGAAATCATTTTTGTGACGCAGTGATAAAATTATGTTTGAATTTAAGTTAATAAAATTAATTTTTTCTTACATCTCGATGTTTTATTAAAAAAGAACAGGTGGGAAGAGACTTTTGGCCCTGTATAAAACGAAGGACGTTATTTCTCGAGGTATTGAGGTTAAATTCAAAGTTCAGATTTCCTTTTTTGTAATTGTTGACAATTAGAGTGAATGTAGATATACATACATATGAAAAATTAAGAAATTTCAAAAGAAAAAATTCTTGAGAACAGGAGGCAGTCGCGAGTCAATTGACACTCGCTTGGAACAACTAAACTTTCCACCGCTTTTTACGAAAGTTTATACAAAACAGCGATGAAAGTTATTTCTCATGGAATTGAAATTATGCTGTCAGACGTCAGAGAAATATCAAAATATCATGCTAGGTACCATTTGTACAGGATGATCGTTTTCAATGTTCATCATTTTACTCGAAGTGATATTTCGCTTAAATAAATTGCTGGTACAAAAATGATGCAAATAAAATTTCCGAGGGCAAGAGGTTAATATTCGAAGCTTTCACTTGTTCGGTACTGATGAAAACCTTCTTTCTCGATTGTAATTCTTCAAACTTCTGTCGCCTTCCTGCTGACGCTTCACATTGTCGTGTCATGACATCAGGTACGTTAGAGTTAACTACATTTAAGTACTTGAAAACTAATTCTATCGTTGTTGATATCTATACCCAGCGTCTTTCAACGCTCGAAAAGTATCCTCCCTTTCTCGTTCGACATTCCAAGTCCCTACGTATGTTACACGCGCGTTTGATTTCAGTATCCAAAACGCCCACCCACTTTAGCGTCAACCAACGTCCTCCCACTCGGTTCCAAAATGTTTCGAGGCTCTCGTCACTCTTGCTCTACCGAAACCTTCTCCATCTTAACGACCACGTCGTGCTTCTAAACACTCGAAGCAGCTCTCCCCTTACTTTCAATCGCCCACAGGCTGCATCGCCACAGGCTGCGTTCGGCTGCTTTCGATCGCGTCTCCCCTCTCGTCCCTTCGCAAATGCCAAGAGGCCGATACAACGTATATCCGTGCAATCGCCGGATCGGTGAGCGTTCGTAACCCAGTTAGCCGAAGGTTCCTGCTACTTTCACCGACCGCAAAGTCGACTTCTGTCCATTCAACTGGCCACGGGAGGAGGGGGATGAACCGCGTGCGACCCGGTCGAGGTACCGTTCGTGTCCCTCCACCTGGCAGATCCGTGACCGAGCGCATAATTTTCGACTACTTTCACTGGCTGTTTGCTCGCTCGCTCGCTCGCTACCACCTGTGCAAGCGTGCTTCTCCGGGCCGCGCGCACCTGACCCAGTTGACCGACTCGAGAGAACAGAGATATCCGCGTTGGTCGACGATCAAGGTCGTCCGGCTGGCTAGATTCTCCCTTCTCTACTGCTGACGCTAAGGCTAGATCCGCTGGCTGCTGATTGAAGACCGTGCACGTTGTTGTTTCGGCGTAGAGCGGGGAAGCCTTGGAGAGGGCACATGCAAGGAAGCGTGAAAATCGTGGTCGCACGTGTCACTGTGTTACTTGGTCTCTGTCCACATTACGCGCGCACAGTACACGAGCGTTTGTCAGCCTCGATTTGCAAGTTTAATAAAAGAAGCAAACAAAAAAAAAAGAGGACAGCCGAATGGATGGTAGAGTAATTTAGATTAACGCGAGGCTTCGTCAATTGCGCGCATAAAGATTCATGAGTCGTTTGATCTTCGAACGCTCTGTTTATCTGTGCTCGTTGCAATCGTAATAATGCACGCCGTAATAATGACTCCGCCGCGACTGATAACGGCTGCGCGACATTGATCGCGAAGCACGTCAGAAAGTAGCCCTGCACATTTTCAACCGAAAACATGAAGTGAAAAACAGAGGAGCACGAGCGGTACGAGAATGAATCTTCCTGCTACAAACAGCTTCGTCCTCTGCGAAAAATACAGAGAAACAATTGCATTTTCTCTCTCTCTCTCGTTCTTCTCTCTACCTGACGCAAACGCGTTTCATTCATCCTTCAACGAAGCCGGTGGTCCTCGTCCCTCGTCAAAACCCTTCCAACAACTAGTCTCTGTCACCCATCAACTCGTCTCCTGCTCTACGATCTCCGCTTCGAAGGTCTACGAGAGCTATTCCAGTCACCAAGCGTGTGCGCTCCGCGAATAACTTTCATTCACCTCGCCGCGGCCGCTCTCTCTCTCTCTCTCTCTCTCTCTCTCTGTCCCCTAAACATGTCTCCTCTTTACGTGATTTCCGATCAATCCGCGGTATATAACCCCCGATAAATCGCACGCCTGTGTGTTCTCTGCATCTCCGCGCTCGCCAGAAGAGAATAATCAGACGGCTGCTGGCGTCTGCGCAGAAGGAAGAACGGGCATCGGCAACGACGACAACGCGACGCACGCCTCCGCATGGACCTAGATCTCACGGAGCAGCGAGGAAAACCGGCGCGGCGCGGCGCGGCGCGGCGCTGCGCCCGGCGTTGTTGCACACCGCGTTGCACTGCACACCGGTGACGTCACCGGTGGCACGTGCCCCCCTCCTTGCCCCGGTCGCCCATCAAAGCGCAGCGGGGGGCGAAGAAGGGGGAGAGGGGGTTAAGAGGGGTGGGCGAGAGGGAGGGAATGCACTAGCAACTTGGTGGGGGAAGGTAGTTAAGGTCACCGTGGCCCTGACTGCACGCGCGCGATACGACGATATCCGTACATGTGTGTGTATGTGTGTGCAGCAGGCCGTGTGCTGCAATTGTGCTCCTCGTGCTCTCGCGCGATCATGTGAACGAACGCGCGTAACGAATGCACCGGTCGGAAGATTTATTTCTAGTTCCGCGCTGCGGCTCTCTCTCTCTCTCTCTCTTTCTCTGTTTCTCTGTTTCTTTCTTTTGTCAGACGCTTTTCTTCTTTCTCTAACGAACGAAAGATGACTCGGAACAGAGCTAGGGAGAGGAAGAGGCATTTACACGGATCCAAAGTGAATTCGTGGCGCGCAATGGTCAAGGCCCGCGGTAGCTTCGACGGCCAACCTCCCCTTTCCGCCCGCTGCCGGCTTCCACCCTTCGCGTCCTAGGCCGCGCAGGGGTGGAGGGCCACGAAATGACCTAGAACGTTGCGCGTGGGCTTCGCTCGCCACGTTGTTTTGTAACGTTGATTCCCGAACGTGTCTAGCTCTCGTGCTAGGCCGATTCCCGGGACGATCGCGAACGAGAATTGTTGTCCGCTGTATCGTACGTTGGTGTAAATATGTTTGCTACGTTGATTGCTTTTTTTTTTCCTTTTTCGATTTTTTGTTGGCTCTTTTTTTGACACGAGAGGGAGAGACTACACAGAATGGCCAAGTATTAGGGCTACCCATAAGTAATTTCATTAATTTTTGTTCAAATTTCATAAACACTGTCATCTAGTGACAATAATTTAACTTGCTATAAAATGACTTATATTCTAGTTAAATGCATTGACTTTTTATTTTTGAAAAAATTTAAAGCTAACCCTATAAGAATAGAAAATACTAGATTGTCTCGATATCAAATGTGAAAAGTGTCCATAAGTTAAGGTCGTTTTTCTTTTTTCCAAATTTAACAAACATTGTCATCTAGTGACAATAATTTAACTTCTTATGTTTTAGTTAAACGCATTGACATTTAGTGTCAGCTTATTGTTAAATTTTGAAAAAATTTAAGCTAATCCTATAAGAATAGAAAATATTGTCTCGATGTTAAATATTAAAAGTACCCAAAAGTAATGTCGTTTCTTCAATTTTCACAAACACTGCCATCTAGTGACAATAATTTAACTTCTTATATTCTAGTTAAATACATTGACATTTAGTGTCAGCTTATTGTTAAATTTTGAAAAAATTTAAGCTAATCCTATAAGAATAGAAAATACTAGATGTCAAATGTCTCGATATTAAATGTGAAAAATACTCATAAGTAATGTCGTTTTT